CTCCATTACTACTGTTACCCAATGCCCATGAAGAGCTGGAGCTGGTTATTTCTAGACATGGGTCCCAGATCTGTCTTGTTTGCACAGATTGCCCTAAACAGAGACAGTTTCCTTCTGACCAAGCAAGAAAGGATGTAATCATTGTGAGACAGGTGGGGTAGCAAAGGACATTGCACAAATGGAGCAAGCCTCAGGAGGTAGGACAAAGTGAGGACACAGACCAGCCAAGCCTTCCTCACTCCTCACTCAGCCAAGCCTACGTTCTGGATATCTAAAACTTACTGGCTTTTCCCTTAGCAGAGCACTAATATATGCCAGTTAGAGTTTGGAGGTGAAAGGGGAGATGCGATCAACTCCTTCACTACCCTTTTTTCCTCAAAAAAGAAACTAGCACAAATAACTTTACTGAGTAAGTGTGTACACAAGTCTGAATGCACCAAACTGAAGTGCAGCAGATGCCACAGTCACTGCCCAGAATTCACCAGGCCTTGCTGCTGCACCATCAGTTCTTAAAGAAGCCTATTCAGCAACATGCTGAAAAGCTGATGATCTTGGTTGCCTACTAACATCACCAAACCCTCAGCTGAACAAATACGGGCAAGCTATGGTTCTGGATATGGGTGACAAAGATGAGAGCATAGGACATGCATGCCTGTGCTGTGGAACAGGAGTCACCTTAAAGAACTGTCACATAGCGAATAGTCCAGCTGCTAAGTTTGATGCCACAGAAAAGCCAAAATCATGCATGGTGGGACAAGGAGAGTTAAGACTAGATATATGGTGAAATACAGTCTTGAGACAAAAGAAACAAGAGGAAAGCCTCAGTCTTGTGCTTCCTAGAGCCAGAAAAGGGTCTGAGCATTTCTTCTTACTCCATAAACTTACACATCCACTTTACAAACTGACCTCTGATCAAATCCATTCCACATTTGTATTGACCTCATCTCTGATAACTATTTAAACAAGTAAAAAAAACCCACAAAACCAACAACAACAAAAAAACCCACCACAAAAGAGTTGGGGGTGGGAAGAGACTGATGTGGGTACAACAGGTAAAATCCATCCAGACAAATTAACAGTTGCAAGTTGGAGGAACTGCCATCACAGGCCACATCTGGGTGATCAGGGAAAGGCTATGGAGGGAAACGGAGTCACCACATCTCAGGAAGGACCAAAACCCTTACACCAACCCACACAGTAGTGATGGCCAGCTTTGGAAACCCGAAGCAGTGAAGCATGCCACGCTGATTGTCACCATAGCCCCTTGTGGAAGAGCAGATTTCTGCTCCACTCAGTACTTGCTCACCAGTCTTCTAACTAGAGAGCAAGCCCCTAGGCTACAAGTAGTCTTCTAGTCAGTTAACCAACTCCTGTCCAACAAGCAAGCTTTTTTCCTCTCCCGTGACCTCCATGATGGAGCTGGGGAAGAAAATTAACATGGATGACTACCAGTATATCATATACATATCCATCATTCATTTGCTTCCTCTGCTCTGGGCTATTCTGGGCACTGCCACTCCAACTTCTTCTGTCTGTAGAAACAGTATAGCAAAATATAGCCCTTTTTTACATCCTCCTCCCACATCATCCCCTAAGGGGGGGGGATGGCCAGGGACACATCTTTGCAAGCCATGACTGTACCTTCCACAAATCCCAGATCACACACCTTTCCTCAGAAAAGCACAGCAAGTACAAGCGAGAGTAAACTCAGAAAATGAGAAAATTTAAATCCACAGTATCAGCATGGTCAGCGCTGAGTAAAGTGTCTGCCCTTGCCTCCCTTGCAGCTCTTACTGTTTACTGTGTTCCCTGGAAACGCCATGGAGTCTCTGGGAGAGTCTCATCAAGAGACACATCCCTTGCTGTGCCTGACCACAATGTAAGACCACATACAAGTTTGATGACTACAGCCAGGTTCAACACAAGATCCAGTTTTGCCTCTCTAAAAGCCTCAAAATCATGTTATTTTTGCCCTCCTTCCCAGCCAATGTAAGAGAAAAATCTTAATCAACTAAACAGATCCTGTACCACATCCTAGAATCTGTTAACTTTAGGATCAGTGCAGGTAAAGGAGAAAAAGTTACTTACCCCGAGGATCCACTACATAAATTAGGACAAGCACCGGGAAAGTAACATCACTAAGCAAGTGCTGTACAGTTTATTGAAGAATAAATTCAAGCCATTTATTACACAAACATTCCTGGTACCCAATTTGAAGTCCGTACAATCGATCTACTTTAACATGACCCTTTTCTTCAATAGCTCCCAAATTCCATTCAGATATACCACTGTATGTTTTAACAAATCTGTGTGCCTTTCTCCTGCTGTGCGTTGGGGTTTGGTGAGCAAAAGGCAACGTGGTGATAAAGGGGAACTGTGAGCTGGCGACTAGGGCAGTTAAACAATAACAAGGTAAGAATGTTTGGCAAAGATACAGACAACAAAAGCATAGAAAGTGCTTAGAAAAATGCGGTATTTTCAGGCTCACAGGGTCTGACGACCCTTAAAAATCTCAGGATATTTCAGGAACTGGTTGAAATAATGACTGATTCATGAAGGGTGAGTCAGATACCAGGAGCATGGAAGAGGCCAAAACCTGCCTAAGTGGAAAGAGACAAGAAGATAGGCTAAGGATTATGAACCAATGAATTTGCCTGTAATTTAAAAAATAATAATCTGGTGCATGTAAGTTGTTTGGGGAAATCAGTAAGACTACTACTCCTCATCTCCAACATGGTTTATCAAGAATAAATCTATTTTCTCTTTCAAAGTAACAGCCCTTATAGATAAGGGAGAAGCAGAAAAGATCACCTGTCTTGACTCTAGTGAGCTTTCTGAAGCTGCTTCATGTGATATCATAGTCAAGCTAGGGAATCATGACCTAGATAAAACTACTGTAAAGGCCTTTGTAATTAATACCACTCGGTGGCAAGCTGCTGGACACCGTTTTAGGGTAGTATCGTTACATACCCTGTCTTTTATGCTTCCCAAGGCATCCACTGCTGAACATCATCCATAAGGATGAACTACAGTCGAAGCTTAAAACATAAGCTATCCAGGGGTGTTGGGAGTGCACATAAACTAGGGAGAATTCAAATAAGAGCATATGTTAAACAAACAAAAACAATAAAGGAAAGTGCTGAGAATGAAAACTATTTTACAGGTGCCTTCAGAAACAGCATATTGGATAGAAAGATTTTTGTTTGACCCAGTATGAATTTTTAAACAGTGAGAGTATCTCAGGTTGACGACAGAACTTCTGGTCTTCCTTGGAAGAGGAGGACAGACCGGAGGACAGACCAGAGGACCTCTACATCTTCCATCTAGCTCTATTTCTCTACAAGTACAGATCCTGACCCAAAGACCATTAAGTCAGCGGGCAGAGGTTTGCTACCTCCAGCAATCTCTGAAGGCTCCGTAGCAGATAAAAGCTGACAGAAGAACCATTCTTCCCCACATCCCTGTCCCCCCAGACGTCAGTTTGCCAACAATGGAGAAAGCAAGCATAAGAATAGGTGTTAAGCTATTCAATCACCTTCTATAAGTGCATGTGCACACTCACAACACTACAGAAGGCATTGAGAATGAAGAAAGCTGTGGAACAGCTCTGTACAAAAAGCAGTGAAATTGATTAAGACAATTAATTTGGAAAAGACAGTGAGGCATGGTAGACAGAGTTCTATAGACTCTTGAATTGTA